CAGTGGGGGATGGGCTGCCGGAGGGGGCCACCGCCAATGGCATGAAGTCCATGTAGCTTGCTGGGCCACACCACCGTTCCGCCAGTTCGCCTGAGGCTCCAAGGGCTGGGGAAAGTTTGCACACGGATTTACAGACCAGAGAGAGGACGTGTGGCTGGGGGAGGAAGTCCATCTCTGCTGCTGACTCAGCTCCATCGTGAGACTTCCAGCTGGTGTGGGGAATTCTGTCTTTCCAGACATCCAAGGAACAGATCTGAGAAATCAGATGTTTGGGAAATAACCCTTTGAAGACTTTCTTTTCTGCCATTAAACGTTTGTATTTATTTTGGTCATTTTTACGAGAAGCACTTTATCCCCTTCCCTCTCGCTGATCATGAAGTGGAACCTTCTTCAGGAGTGAGGCAGGGTCACTCTGAGGAAGTCCCTGGAGGTGACCAATGCAGTAGCCAGTCCCCTCCCTGGAGGCCAGCCTCAATTTTCTTCTCCACTCAAGGAGACAGAGGTCATCTGTAGGCCAGGACCCCTACCTCCAGGCTCGCTGCAGTGGACAGCTGTGCCTCTCAAGTGGCGCATTCTTGGGACTGCATTTTAGACAGAGGAAAATGTACATGAATTGGGTTTTTTTCTATAGTCTGTATATTTTAAAGTTGGGTTTTTTTTTTCTTTCTGTTTGTAAGGTCGTTTCCACCCCGTGTGTTGGGAAGCAGCCCCCAGAGGGTTATAGGAGCCAGCGCCATCTTTCTTTCCTTCAGGATCATCCTTTTGTACTTGATCTGGAAGTTTTTGTGGGGAAACTTCCATATTGCACCAGAAACCCTACGTGGTGAGAGAGCACCCATTTCCTGACACTGGGTTTGCTTAGTTAAGTCCGCGGTAGCTGTTGTGTCTGAGATGTCTGTTTCTATTAAGACACCTTCCCAGACTGAGTTCCAGCAGCAAAGGTCCCTCTTCCCCAGTCAGCTCTGTTGCCAGCACTACTTGAAAATGTGGTTACTTTCAGAACTCCAAACAACAGGAAAATAACCGACAAAAAAAAAAAAAAAAAAAAAAAATGACTAAGGCAAATCCCAGGAGGGAGCCTTGCTCTCCAACACATGGCCGCCACCCACATCTCCAGCACACACCATAGAGAGCTCCAGCTTGGATGGCTGTCACTCTGACATCACAACAGTGCCCATGGCACCTGGAGGCGGTCCACCTCATGTCTTCCTCAATGGCTTCCTGCCTGTCACTCACTCAGCACAAAAGGGTCCTGGACAGGAGTGCAGGTTGCTCACAGGTGAGGCCACGTGGCCTTTAGTCCTTGAAAGCAGCAAGAAGAGAGAGAAAGCAATAACTCACCAAAGCTCAACTCCATCCTGCGCCAGCCTCCAAGGATGTCCCTTACCTGTGTCCCTCATCCGACCCGAGACAGTGGGGGCCCAGGGCTGCTGAGAAACCAGCCTCTGGACCTATTTCAGCAGCTCAGGCACCAGCCTCTCTGGGCACCGTGGCTTCTTCTCAACCATCTGCCTTGCCTCTTGCCATGTGTCTCTACCATGTGTTCTTCCAGGGAAATCACGGTCTTGGGCCTATGTGGGCAACTACGTGACTTCTAAGTGGCAGTTGCTCAAAATTCAAAAGCTAGAAACTGCTTGAGTTTATCCCCTCCCAGCTCCTTGTCTGGTCTATTTCTTACAGCCTCCCCTGCTTCTCTGCCCCATTTGATAGATAACATCAGCAGAAGCCAGCTGCCTTGATGACAACCTCCTGAGGGCAGTGCTGGGACATGCAGCCATGTTTCCAGTAGCTGGCCGATGTTCTCTTCCATGCCTGGGGTCCTGAGGGCTTTGCTTGAGGACCAATGTCTAGGAAGGAAGTTGTATGGCCAGTCCCTGATACCTGCTCCCAGTCCAGCTTCCCTTCCATGCCTTGATGTCAGTACACATCCTCTCTCCAAAGCCTCTCTACATCTGTGCAGCCTTTGCGTGCCAAACTTGTAAGATACTTTTCACCCTTCCCAGGGTACCTGCTACCAAGTCACCTGGCAGCAAATTCTTGTTAACAGAGAATGAGACATCCGCATAGCCGAGAACAGTCTTCCATGGTTGTGCTGTCCTTCTTAAGAGCTTTGCTAAAACCACCAGGGAGGTGACGTCAAGGGACAGCACTTCCAAACTTCTTGTCGAAGCCTCCAATCTCCACCTCAAACGACAATGGTAAAAACACTGGGCCAGCGCAGACAGTGTTAATGGCTACAGCAATCAGAGCCAACCTATCAGGGATTAGCAGGGAAGCTACCATGGAGGCAGGGGCCAAGGGACCACCAACCAGAGGAAGTTCAGAAGGCCGACTGCTGGCTGTGTCTTGACCTTCATGCGGCAACCTCAGGGCCCGCTGAGTAGTTCAGTTTCTGCTTCAGAGCGTGGGTACCTGAAGATGCTGGAACACCTCATGAAAGGCGGCCAACACAGGAACTTTTGCTTGTCGCTAAGCTTGTTGTGTGGTCCGATCGAGTCAGAAAGACAGCGGGACACCCAGGCCTCAGACACTCTGGCCTGGCTCCACAGGAAGATGGTCACAGCCCAGCTCCCTGGTACCAAGCTGCCATCCCTAAACTCAGTCCTGTTTTCCCGTGGGTAGATGCTTCTCAGGCACTGGTCCATTGTGTTGGGCTCCTCCGTCCCTGGGGACCTCCAGGGCTGTAGTCCTCTCCTCTCCTCCCTGCCCGTTTTCATAACTAATGCACAACGAATGGGCGCACCTCCGACAGGGCTGGAACAGTTCTTCATTTTGCTCTTTACTAAGTCAGATACTATGAACTATCTAATTATTAGCACCCAAGACGAATAGGAGAAAAAAGGTTTAGATGTTTTTGTGTTTTAAGACGATCGTCACCTACAACTGGAGGACAGGGCTGATAAATGGGGTTTGGCTACAAAACGGAAAGCGAGCAAAACCAGATCTTGTAAAGGAAATATCACACGCAGTCGCAGTCGTGACTGCTTCCCAGAGCCAAACAAGAAGTCCCTGAACTGGAAGTGCCATTCAAAAGAATCTCGTGACCATGACACACCCAGCCCCTGGGTGGCACACAGGTCGAGGGAGGCCCACACTTCAACTCCTCCTCCGTGTTCTTAAGGACACCACCTCACTCTAATAATGTATTGTGTGTGTTTTGGAGCAGTATGGTGTGTTGTGTCTAGTGAGGAACGCTTCCCTACCTCTGTCCTCTGCAACCCCACCATGCGTGCTTTTATCCCAAGAGCCGCGTGACTGTACGTGTTGATGGGGGCGGTACCTGTTCATAGCACAAGTTTATGTTGAGCTCTGAACTGTCATTCACAGCTGCGTGTCTGCATGGTGTCACATCTGTTGTACCTTTGGGGAAAATTTGTATGTAAATGTACAGAAATAAAAACGTTGCCCCACTAACAGATTTCCTCTGGAATGTCTTCCCTACCTCACCTGATGGTATCCACAAAGGGCATCTCACTATCACTGAGGACAAGTAATAAAACCCTCCACGTTGACCAGACCTCCCCGCTCACTACTTTCAAGGCTTCTTCTGTCTGTGGCCTTTACTTGCCCTGGGGATGGTGGGGGTCTCATTCTGCTTGAAGAGTCCTAGTCTTAGACGGTAGTCAGAGGCTGAGACCGGATTAACCTTAAATGTTTATGTGATTCTCAAACCATCGGAGAATTCAGCACATTTAAGAGGAATTTTTTTCTCGTTTGTGTTCTGCTAACCTTGTGGCCTGAGGATTCCCAGAGAGGTCAAGGAGTGACTATCTACACTGTGATTCTGTGAGGAAAGACTGATAATCCAAAACGCTCTTCTCTAATGTAGTATTTTTTAACAAGAAAACGATATTTCTTTAATAAAGCATTTATACCAAACTCTTCTCTCCATAGCTGATTTTGTGTTCCTCACTATTCTGTCCTAGAGAGCTGTCCACTGGGCTTTCAGCACTGCAGAAACACTGGCTGAGGCCACAGAGGTTGGCACGGCAAGTATGCAGGAGGCAGCTCCTCAAACCACAGACACAATTACTCTTAAATGTCCTTATTCCTGCCCTTGCGGGGCTCAGTGCAAAAGCCTTAGCACGGTGCAAAAGAATTATAGGCCCTGAACTGTCTGCTGTCAACACAAAAGGGTCCAGGGGGGACCCCAAAGAGAAAGCTCTTTGGCTTGGCAATGGTGGTCACCTTTTGTCAAAACATGGTTCTCAACACATGAACCTCTGGTGGAAAATCACAATTAGAGCCCCAGCAGTAGTCAGGAAAATGCTAAGGACTAAAAATGGCCAAAGGGCAAGGACTAGGGAGAAAGGAAAGCAGAGGTGACAGACACAAGAGCACAGTGGCCTGAGGCACTGGTGTTCAAAAAAAAAAAAAATGAAGTTAAAACCAAGACTGCTACCTGTCACAGCCTTTACAGTTTGCAAAGCATTTCTACACACTTAGCAGGCTAGGGATTACTGCCATTTCTCAGATGGGAAGAACAGACAAAAGAAACTAGACTCCACAGAGACCACAAATCTAGAAAGCTGCACTAAGGTTCAAATGTAACTTTATAAAACATAAGTAAGGTGCCCAGGCAAGGCTTAGAGAGAATACTGGGAGAGCCCCCCAAGGGTGACCTATACCTGCCACACGAGCCTAAAGCATAGCCACTGGGGCTCTTAACTCTGACCGGGAGTGTGTGGAGCACAGCAGCACTAATTTCAAGTGTTTCCAATTACACGTCTGCCCCTTCTCCAGAACCAAACAGTCAGGAGTGCGTGTGTGCGCTGTCTGCCACTTTCCTTCCTGCCAATGCCCGTCAGCCTGAGCCTCCTGACGTCCACACTAAGAGGAGACAGCCCAGGAATAAACTCTTTAAAGCAAGGTATGAATGCAGCCTGAGACAAAACCCAACCCGTTTATTGAAATGTAATTCATACACGAGTTACACACTCTTCCCTCTGCCGCTCAGAACTTCTCGGGAAATGTCTCCATCTCTTCCTTGATCCTGTTTTCTACGAGTAACGTGAAGTTGCTGTCTGTGTTGGAGAGGTTGTAGCTGACAAACACCTGTTTACTGGTCTTCCTGGCTAAAAAGACAAAAGTACGTTGACAGTCACGACCAAAATACACTGAGTCCATGTTCCACAAACGTGCTGAGAGCTGGGAAGTGCTTAGAAGGAGGATGGGATTTAAAGAATTCTCAAGGGCTAGACATGCAAAAGGACATCTAGCGCCCTCCTCGACTCTGGAGCCCTGGATTTAATACAGGCCTATGCAGCAGCAGCAGCAGCAGAGGCTCAGCAAGAACTGCAGTCTCTCGCCCATCCTGACTCCTGCAGGAGAAAGATACAGTGTTGGGGCCAGCAGTCACTGCTAGAAAGCTCTTGGGTAACCACACACTAGTATCTGAGAACCTCTATTCTACATGGAGCTTGTGGCTTCAAAGATTTGAGGGTTTTGTTATTTCAAAAACAGTCAAATACTGAAGTTCTCCATCATCACGGCCCACCTCTATCATTTTCCACTCTCTTTCTAGGAGAATGCTTATTTTATGCATGTATATATGTTGTATACATGTACACACATGCATGCATGTGCATTTTCTAGAACCGATAAATAGGTGAGGCACTGACGGAACTGAAAAAATGAAGCTCAGCTACATGCTTAGAATGTGGAAGGCAATACCCCGAGCAGAAGCAGGCAGCAAGCCCAAGCCAGTGTTTCATTCACCAATGTCTGGGCAGTGGCCTGACCTCTTCCTTTGGCCTCACCCATGCCCAGGGCACAGGCACAAACTACTTTTCATCTATCAGAACACAATCCTTCACTCATCCTTCCCTCTAGTCCAGGGACCCCACCCTCCTCTCCAGGCAGAACAGCAGGCAGTAAGGCTGAGTAGTCGTAATACTCTGATTAAAGCCTGCTGTAGAATCTACTGAGCTTCACCCAGGTGGTGACTGTCTCCCTCTGCAACTCCTACCTGCAGTTGAAGGAGGGTGTCAACGAGGGCAGAGGCAAAGCTGCCTTTAAGTCTGGGTCTTTCCTGCCCCATCACAACCTGAAACTTCTGGGCTCCAGACCCTCCTTTGTAAATCTAAGGCAGTAGGGCCTCTGACTCTCAAAGGCCTTTTTAACTATTTTCTTTATTAGTTATTCAAGATTGTGCTTGTTTGTTTTCAGATAAAGGGATCTTGGGGAATATTCTGTTGACTGGGCAGCTGATGCATCCTGAGAAGAGCCCAGTCTCTGCCCTGAGAACAGCCGGAGGTTTGTTTTGGGTTTTTAGTTTTTGAAGACAGGGTTTCCCTGTGTGGCCCTGGCTGTCCTGAAAATAGCTCTGTAAATCAGGATGGCCTCAAACTCACAGATCTGTCGGCCTCTGCTACAGGGTGCTGGGATTAAAGGCAAGTGCAACCATGTCCAGCTCTGTTGTTTTCTTTTCTTTTAGTTTTTTTTTTTTTTTCTTTTCAGACATTTTTCTGTATAACAGCCCTAGCTGTCCTAGAACTTGCTCTGTAGACCAGTCTGGCCTCCAACTCAGAGAGCCAAAAGCTTCTGCTCCTGTGCTGTGAGTAAAGGTGTGAGCCACCATACCCGGGGTGTTGTTTTCTTTTTTTAAAAAAGGAATGTAAAAACAAATGAAAGGATGTAGCCAGGCATAACGGCACACATGTGTAAACCCAAATCCCAGCACTTAGGAGGGAGAGATAGGCAGTTAAGCCTATGCTCCAGGCTAGCCAAATCAAGACAGACAGACTGTCTTTTAAAAAGGAAGAGGAGGGGGCTGGAGAGATGGCTCAGAGGTTAAGAGCACCTCTTCCAGAGGCCCTGAGTTCATTTCCCAGCCACTGCATGGTGGCTCCAAACCATCTGTAATAAGATCTGGCGCCCTCTTCTGGTGGGCAGGGGTACATGCAGGCAAGGCACTGTACACAAAAATAAAATTAAATAAATAAATAAGTAAATAAATGAATAAATAAATTTTTTTAAAAAAGGAAGAGGAGGAGGGCATCTGGACAGAAGCAGTTGTTCAGTTAGCACAAAAGACGGTGCCTTACAGTAGCTAACAGCATTTTCTTTGGACCAGCCACCAGTTTGCTGCATGCAATGTTCCCTGGGGTCCCAAACAGTGCTCTGCTCAGCACAAGGAGTACAGCAGGGAGACCTAACAAGTCTCTCCCACCCCCACCCCATCCACCTCTCCGATCCCATTCCCTTGGGTACTGGAGGGAGGCTGGTAATTGCTAATTTAGATAATGATCTGAGAACCAGTCAAGTATGGCAAGATAGTGAGATTCACCAAGACCAACCAGAAAGGGGCCATAAAATCACAGTGCTTAGTCCTCTGTCCTCTCAGTGGCAGTGGTGTGTCCTTCCCCTCTCCCCATGGGGGCCCGCTGAACTGTAGTTCCCATCAGTCTAATTGCTAAGGGACCACTGTGTCTGTGACTCAACCTTCCAGGCCCATCTCCGCCCTGAAAGGCGACCAGAGCTCAGGGTCTCCTCCTACATGCAAAACTGTGGTGCAATGCTTCCATGGTCACTGAGAGCACTGCAGCCCAGCTCTTATCTGTCTGCTTTTGTCTTCCATAGACGTTATACTGCAGGACACCTCTGTCTTTATCATAGGTTACTGATCCCTGTCCAGGCCCAAGGAGATCAGTCAGCCTGGGACTTTGCTGAGCACTGTGCAGCACTAGACCTTTCAACATGGCAGCAGCCATGACAGTCACCAAGTCACTGCACAAAACCTGGTCTTAGGCCTCTTTCTCATATTCTTGAGCCAACGCTGCATTTTTTTTGGTATGAGATCATTGGTGGAAGTCACCGAAAATGACAGATCTTCCTACTTGTTAAGATGATACAATTTTCTTGGTACAACTCCAAGCACAACTAATGTGTGAGTTTCTCAAAACTGGCGATTGGGCTCTTTCCCATCCCATCCCCTTGGCTAAGATTCAGGGGTACCCTGGAATCACTGGGTTCAGAAATGACTAGGGATGCTGGAAAACACAAAGACTGAGTCATTGATGAAGACACCCCGTGCATACAAGTCAGGGGCAAGTGGGGCTGGAGATCATAAAACACAAGCTATTACCTGAATCACCTGAGTATTTGTAATTTAAAAAAAAAGGCACAGGTGGGAAGAGGGGGTCCTTCAATCTCATGCTCTTTGGTAAACACCCACCCTACTCCGCATTCATACTAAGCCTGAGAAACGGTCCTCCCTGCAGTAGAGAAATTGCCACAAGGTCCAGGGAGCCCCTCTGAGCAGCTGGCCCTGGGTAGAATTTATCCTCTCCCACAAGGAGGTGATATACTCATTGAAAGAAAATATATCAGCTCGTGGATGCAAATGGGGAGCCAAGAAGAATGTGGGAGCTTCCAAAAGTTCCCCTGGGATCAGGATACTGAGGCAGCTGACACAGGTACCTACATGCACATGTGTCCCCTAAAAAGACCCAAAGGACAGAAGTCTACTTCCAACAGTAATGAGGCAGTGGTCCTTAATATGATGGTGCTTTATCTGAAGTCATTTACCCTAGGACATGAAACAGTGGGTCACATCTGACTGGTTACAAGCACAAGCTATGGGTACATACCTAAGCGCTGGGCAAGGCCAGAGGAGGTCGTGTCAGAAGTGTCTCCAAAAAGGGAGGTGCACACAGGGATGGGGTCCTAAAAAGGAGGGAAAAAGAACAAAGAGTATACCATAAATTTCCTCAACCAGGCAGCTTTGGTTTCTACACAAGGCGTCAGGGCAACAAGAAGACACACCAATGTCCCCAGTCAAAAGCCAGATGACCCTAACACAATAGAGGGAGAAAAATTAGGGCAAACAGAGCCATCTGTAATGGGACCCATGGAGCTGTTAATAGATTCTAGGGCCTATTTCACATAAAGTGATTGTTTTAGTGTTACAAACCCCAAAGAATGCTGAACGGCATTCCAACCAGAAGGGAAGCAAATGAATTCATTAAGGCCACAGCAAGAAACGTGACCAAAGTCTGCGTTCCTGGTCCAGTTCCTCAGCTGAGAAGCGAGGTCCTGCCCTCCTCAGGAAAGCCTACAAGAGCACAGCTCTCACTCCCTCAAGGCTTGTGAGGACTTCTGAAGATGAATATAGTGACCAGGGAATTTGAAAAGGCACCAGCTACCAGCATCCAAACAGCAAAATTAAAGGCTTGTATAAAATTGGTAACCAATCTTGTTTTGGCTAAGAAGCAATAAAATGTAACACAGTAGTGTGGAATAATCTTTTTGTGCACTGTGAGGATGTGTCATTCTGATTGGCTTAATAAAAAAACTGAATGGCCGATAGCCAGGCAGGATTTTCAGGCACAGAGGACTCCGGGAAGAAGAAAGGTGGAGTCTCCAGGAGATGCAGAGGGCGCAAGACATGTTGGAGGCCAGGTAAAGCCACAAGTCATGTGGCAATATATAGATTAATAGGAATGGATTAATTTAAGTTATAAGAGCTAGTTAAAAACAAGCCTAAGCCGCCGGCCGGGTTTTCATAATTAAAAATCTCCGGGTCACTATAGGGAAACTGATAGTCCCGACAAAAAAGTCCAACTACTCCTTGGGTTCAATATCCAGCAGCCCCCTGAAAAAAAATCTTGTTTGAAAGGAAAAAGCCCACCCACTAACTTGTTCTGGGGTTTGGTACCCTTGCTACGATATCCAGGTGGAGACAACTGGATGGATGGAACATCCTTCCCTAAGGGCTTAAACTCACTTCATTAGCCAAACAGAAAGCAAGATTTAAAAAAAGAAAAAAAAAAGGGAAATGAATGAATCCATTTCTGACCTTTTTTTTTTTTTTACTAAAAAAGATACAAAAGTGCATCATAAACCTGCTGTTTACAGACTCTGAGTTCAATATTTAGCTGAAACGTAACTATTTACACTTAAGCCTCCTGAAGTAAATCTACTTTAACACACACACACACACACACACACACATCTGGGTCCTGGTGCAAGCAGAGCAGAGGTTCTGGTGGGCTCCGAGCTCAGAGGTTGGGCTGAGTGCCCAAGGTGATGCAAGCAAAGACTGAGGCTCAGCACCAGTCAAGAAGCAGGCCTAGGGGACTCCAGCCCGAGGTCTCCAGGGAAAGCACTGAGGAGAGCTTAAGTCCCTCGGGGCTACACGTGACCAGCCTCACTTCCACTAGTCTCTCCTGTTCCAGATCCCCTCCCCAGCGGTCCCCACTTGTCACCTTCCACCCCGAACCCCACCACACTGAGGTCCACCAGGCCCTACAGTTTAGGCCCCGCCCCCAAATCCGCACCAAGGAAGGCCCACCCCCTTCCTGCCCAGGCCCCGCCCACACTCACGTAGCGGCTGCACATGGCCACTGCGAGGTTGCGTAGATGCGGCGTTGCTCCCACCCACAGGAAGAGCGAGTCTGTCAGCCGCATGACGTGGAAGTGGACGAGCTGCTCCCAGAGCCTTGCGCTGAAGTTGTGAAGCGACACGTCCCCGCTCGCGGCGCCCTGCGGCTCCGCCATCCTGCCCGCCCGCCACTCGAGCCACAGCAAGGAACCCAGCCAGGCGCGGGCGGCCAGACCAGAGAGAGCGAGCGCCGAGAGGCCTAATGCGCTTTCACTTTCAGATGCGCGCGCCGGGGTGGGGCGGGGCGAACGCGAGGGGCGGGGCCTAGGAGATGCCTTTGGCCTGCTCTAGACCTAGTACCTTGACAAAGGTACATCTGTGAAAAAACCCTGCCTCGCCTAGGTGTCTGATGGTGACTCTGGGGACCCTCTGAATGCCTCTGTCCTTTCCCTTCTCCCCAGTGGACCGTGTTAGTGCGCTGTTTGCGCACACATTCACTCTGAGCGCTTTAGCAGCTGCCACCTCCCACTGTGTCTCCTGGCTGCAAGCCTTGGACATAGACAGCCCTACAACAGCAGCCATCCCAAGAGACAACTTTAAAAAAGAACTGCATAGACTATGGCGGAAGAATGGGCTCTTCGGAGACAGGTGCACGCGTGTACACACACACACAGTTGCCACCATGTAAAACACGGGTATTGTAGGATAAGAAGTGAGAAACGAGCGTGGCGTGGGAAGCCCTATGGAGCATGGTGCTATGCCTGCCCAGGGACCCTTTAATTTCAATCACTGGGACGCTGAAGTGTTTGGAATGAGACCCTCGGTTGGTTCAGAGAGGCGTATAAACAAACCTTCCTGTCCAGTTGGCCAAGCTTTTTACTGCTGACTTGGAGTCTCTCGTACCTGTAGGAGATCTATTTAAATCTCCAGGAATTCTAAGTGGACTAAAATGAAGTTTAGGAGGGTGATGTGGTTTGAATATGGCTTGTGGCCCCTAGGATTCATTGGGAGTTGTTTGGGTTCCAATGGGAGACCATGGAATGATGGGAAGATAGGACCTGCCTGGAAGACCTAAGTCACTGAGGATAAGAAGGTGTTTTTCTGGTAGAGGTCCTGTTATTATAAAAGCAACAAGCCCAACTGCACCCATCTCTTTCTGCCTACTCTTGACTCAGGCTGTGACCTCGACCCTGAGTTGTCTTCCTCTGACTGCGGTTCACCATGAAGTCCTCACCGTAACCCAGCATAATCAACATAATGTGTAGTGATATTTTCTCTGTGTTTTAACAAGTAAAGCTTGCCTGAAGATCAGAGGCAAAGTTAAGCCTCTGGAGGCCAGGCTCATGGTGATGACTCATGCCGTTAATCCCAGTACTTACTGCACACGTTTCAAATGTACAAATTAGGGGAGGGGAAGCTTGGAGGGAGTGGGGGATGGATGTGACCAATATACATTAAATACATGTATGAACCTTTAAAAAAACATACAAATTGAAGTTTTAACATCTGTATAATCCATTAAACCACCACCTAAAATCTAGTAACCCTCCCAAATCCCAGTATAATCACCCATCCCCCCCCCCCCTCACCTCTAGTCTACATTGTTGCTATAGGTTACTGGGAGTTTTCTAGAGTTTTATATGACTAAAATAAACCACATACTTGACTTTTCTCTTGCATCTTCATTCAGTAGAATCATTTCAAGACCCTTCCAAGTGATTAGTGCTTCACTCGTTTCTATTACTGAGCTGTGTTCTATTGCATGGATACCACCATTTGTTTAGCCATCCAGAGGCTGGTGTTCACATGGGTTGTCTCGGTTGTTCTTGGCTTTACAGTAAAACTGACGCAGATATATGCATACAGCTAAGCTTCTGTTCGCTTTCATTTCTCATAGAAACAAACTAGGGGGAAAATGGCTGCTTCCTACAGTTGTGTATTTGCACCTTTTAAGAACCTACCTAAGTACTTCCCAGTTGTTTCCCCATTCCTATTGACAGTACCCAAGAGCTTGGATCCATTGCATGCTCACCAGGCAGCAACCGTGCAGTGCAGATGTTCTTTTACTGGTGAAACAAAACCTGGTGCTGAATCTAGGCGTAGTGACATATGCCTTTAAGCATAGCATAGGCAAAAGCCAGTGGATCTCTATGAGTTTCCAGGCCAGCCATGCCTACATAGTTACATAGTGGAATTCTGTCTCAAAAAGGGAAGTAGGCAGGGGAAGGAAGGGAAGAAGAAGAAAAGGTAAAAGAGTTGACTAAATGCTTATCAAAGAAGATACAAGATGCTAAGCCTCTGCTCAGTCTACAGCACCGTAAATTCAGTGAGGATGGCGCTCTGATTTTCCACAGGGTTACATACCAGTGAGCCCACTGTGGTACTATGAATGAGAATGACCCTCATAGGCTCATATGTCTGAGTACTTGGGCCTCAGTTGGTGAAACCATTTGGGAAGGATTAGGTGTGGCTTTGTTGGAGATGTGTAACTGGAAGTAGGTGCTAAGCCTTCCTGGTATGCTATCGGCCTCTGTCTGCAGTCTAAGATTTGAGCTCTCTGTTGATGTGCTAGCCACCTGCTACCTCCACTCCACCATTATTGTGGGATGTTTAGACACCATCTGAAGGTATTGCTTTAGTATAATAAAAAGCTTAATGGCCAATAGCTAGACAAGAGGTATAGGTGGGATTTCCAGGAGAGAAAGAAAGAGGAAGAGGAATCAAGGCACATGGGAGACACCAGGATTCATGGATACAACAGGAGATACAATATGGAAGAGAAGTAATGTCATGTGATAGAACATAGATGAATATGAAATGGGTCAGATTAAGTTATAAGAGCTAGTTAGAAATAAGCCTAAGCTAATGGCTGAGGTTTCATAGTTAACAAGAAATCTCCATGTCATTATTTGGGAGCTGGTGGTACAGAGAAAGCCTCATTACACACCATCAAGGATAACAACTCTGAAACTATAATCCTAAAACAAACTCTTTCTTCTCTAAGTTGCCTTGTGTCTTATTACAGTAATGGAAATGTAACTAATATATGCATAGTAAGTGGAAAATGCTTGTGCCACACCTAACTTCAACATTCCCGTTTTGGGCCATAGCCTACTGTGGAGTGTCAGTAAGACCCCTACATGGCTGACTGGGGTCTGCCTGGCTTCACCAGAGAGGGAAAACTGCTTATTGCTATTTCAGGAAAATTCCAAATATAAAATTCCAAATACAGTATCCACTAAATACATATCGGCGTCATACATTCATAGAGTTGAGAAATAAACAACCGAGTTAGAGATTGTCTGCAGCGTAGTCCAAACCTATCAATATGATAGTAAATGAACTTAAACAATCCTGCAGCCAATCGGAAAACAGGAAGAATGCCACCCACAGGCTACGAATTCTAGCATGTTTTTGAAGCATGGAAAATCGACATAGAATCTCCTATAATGAAACAGCAGGTGAAGAATGCACCAAGAATGGTGCAGAGACAGAAAAAGGAGCAGCAGAAGAAATGAATATGATTAAAATTCATTGGATGCATCATGGAAATGTCATAACAAAACTCCTTTGTGCTGTGGGAATCTAGCGGAGTCGCCACATCAAGGTTAAACATTAGAACAGAATAGCCGTTTTCTAGAAGGACTTTGACCTTGAAGAAGTCATGGTGGAAATCAGTGATTGCTTTCTGTGATTTATAGAGTTGTTTTTCTGAAGCAGCATTACAGCCTTTGCATGACTTTAGTCACAAGACAGCCCTGGCACCTCCGGAATGAAGCTCTTAGATTAATGGGTACTGCAAACAGTTCACAATAAAGACTGAAGGGGCAGGAGTATGGTGTTTTCCTTCAGAAAAACATATAGATTAGATCAGGGACTTTGGTATGAGGAACTTGTTTACCCAAAAAAACAATTTTGTGTGACCATTACTAAACACACCTTTGAACAGGTATTCGAGGTTCAGTCCATCAGAGGCAGGACTTTCCTGCTGCCACACAGGCCAAAAATTCATCTTGGGGTGACTTCTTTTTTTGACTGACTCATACAACATAGGGCACCTGACACTTTGGTATAAATAATATGTGCCAGAAAAAAAAAAAAAACTCAAAACTTTGAAGGGAGCAGCGCAGCGGGGATGAGGCTCAGCAGATAAAGTACTTGCTGTGAGAACATGGAGACCTGAGTTCAGATCCCCGGACCCACAGAAAAGCCAAGGAAGCATGGCAACCCACTGCTGTCCCAGGGTTTTAGAGACAGGAGTTCTCTCCAGGGCAAACTGGCTACTTAGAAGTAGAGGTTTTGGTGAGCTCTGGGTTCAGCCAGAGACCTTGCCTCAGTAAATAAAGTGGCTCATGTGCCTGAAATGACAAGTGACAAAGATAACAGCATAAAGGCCACGCTGGCCTGATTTGGAGTGACTCTGATGGGCCATGGTAGCTCCTGAGCACCATGAGGTCAGCTGAGGCATTCACCTTACCCACCAGAGACCATTATGAATCAGTGGTTCGCAGATCATGATTCTCACAGGTCATGATGGCTCAGTGTTAAGAGCACTGACTGCTCTTCCAGAGGTCTTGAGTTCAGTTCCCAGCATGGTGACTCACAGCCATCTAAAGTGGGATCTGATGCCTTTTTCTGGAAAAAAAAAAAAAGTCGATAAAGCAGTCATATACATAAAATAAATAAATCTTAAAATAAAATTAAATAAATAAGTCAGCTAAAGTGGCCTCGTGTCATTAAAATATAATCAGTAATGGTTTTCTCAGCCCTTCCCCAAAAGGATCCCTGGCTGCTCAGTGGAGCTTATAAGATCCAAACAACAATGGAATCCTACCAAGGGTCCACTCTGCCAAGGTTCCACTCTGTCTATTTTAGATCATTCCTCTGCTCTCTCACAATTGAGATACATACACTTGGAAGCTGGCACAGTCCCCACACCAAGTGGAGAAAGCCAAATCGAAAACTCTAAAATTGTTATCACTTAACCACAATGAACAATATTACATCCCGAGGAGGAGGGTAGACATTAAGACCATCTTAAGAAGACCAAAGATGCAATCAATAATGGTAGATCCTGCCACCTCTGGAGCAGAGACAGTGGGCAAGTCTGTGAGGGATTGTCTTGATTGTTCTTTGCTGTAGCAGGGCCCAGTTCACTCTAGGGGGCACCATTCCTAGACAGGTGTTCCCGAGCTGGATAAGAAAGCTGACTCAACATTACTCTGTGACGGAACAAAGAGTGAGCTAGAGAGGTGGCAAGCAAGCAGTGTTCCTCCGTGGTTTCCGCCTTTGAGTGGCTGCTAAGTTTCTGTGCTGACTTCTCTCAGTGATAGACTGTGACCTGTAAGGGTAGTGACCCTCTCTTCCCCATGTTGCCTTTGGTCAGAGTGTTTTAGCATAACAACAGAAAGGAAACTAGAACCGGAGTCAGAGTAGATGAGGAGCTGCTGCCGTGGGATCTACTCCACTCACCACTCTGCTGCCCACCAAGATAACAGTTTTTAAAGTCAGGAGACCTTCCTCGGGACCCTGACTCACAGTGCTTTAGAGACATTATGTCACCGATGGGAATGTCTCATGAATCAGAGGCCAAGGAAAGCGGGAATGGAACACTCACCACCTCTTAACAGCAGCCCTTTTAGAGAACTGTGCTCTCCAAACCTGTGCAAGCAGATACAGGCACAGAACCCCGCTTCCATCAGCGAATGCTGCAGAAGACCAAGCAAGCAGCTCTATGTGAGCACCTGCGCTCTGGGTTAGTTACTTCACTCATTGCTGTATAAGATGCCTGACAAGCCACGTAAGGACGGTTTTAACACCCCCCCCCACACACACACACAACCGCTCATAGTTTGAGGGTACAGTCCATCATGGTGGGGAAGGTTGGGTGTGAGGCAGCTGGTCACAGTCAGGAAACAGAGAGATGAATGCTGGTACTCAGGTCACTGCCTCTCTTTCCCGTTTTTATTCCACAGACTGCCTCCCATGAGCTGGTGCTGTCCACATTCAGGGTAGGCCTTCCCTTCTCAGGACAAGAACAGGGTCATCCACAGTGCTCGGCTCAACCTGAGACCCTGCTGGTAACAGGCAAAGGGTAGATGATTGAAGTGAGTGTAAGTTCCAGACGGAGTCTTGGGCTCTAGTCCTGGTTCTTCACTAATTAGCCTGCGGCCTCAATTCTAGGTCTGCTGTCTTAACTGCGGAGTGAGATGATAGGTTCAGGTGCCGTCTATTCAAGTACCTTCCAGGCCTAAGATCAGGTAAGAAGGTAAAAAGTTAACCAGAGCCTCACACAGAAGGGTGCAGCTCTAAAACAACACCACCAGGTGGCAGATGGGAAAGAAGAGGTCTACTTGCAGAGTGGCTTTTGCTTTCA